GGAATATTTTCTTCCAATTTAAATGTAACCAATATTGTGGTACCCTCTTTCAAACAAAAAAAGAATCATCGAAATCGGCTTGCAAAATTCGGATTAATCGTTTAACATACACACTAAAAAAATACAGACGAATTGAAAATATCCACCTTTTTTGAAGTCGGCAAAAAAAGCTTAAAGCACACACAAACACAAATTTTTTTTTTTTAATTTGGTTGTGAAACTCTCGTAAACTCGTGTCGCAAAATTCACTATGTTAATTATGTTATTTTACTCGAACATGTATTAATTGGAATTGTTCTTATTTCCAGCGAGATTCGGGTACGGTTGTGTTCTGTCTTTCACGTGAATGTCTTTGTTTTGCACTGTCTTTGTTGCTTTGTGGTTTACGTTCAACTGGCATATTCATTGTATTGTATTCATATGAGCATGAGTTCAGAAGAAAACTTATATGCAGACAGCATTCTCGTGATTTTAATTTAAAACGCATGAAACGTCTTTTTAAAGCACTATTATTGTAATTACTTATTTTCAAATAATATTGCACCTAAGTTTTTTAATGCATTTCATATTTTTTCTGTATTGAACTTAGTTATTATAATTCCTTATTACACTTCCATTATGTAATATCATAGTTTTGTTTCTATTATTACTTAAATACCGAGGGATTTTTGCAATAGCGGCATTTCTCAAAAATATCTAAGTCATTAATAAAATGTAAAAAACTAACAATCACTAAATCATTTTAACCAATGGAAAGCTCCGTGTCTTATTCGCAATAAATGTTAGTACAATTCTGAATACATACCGCACTGGGTTACCTATCAATAGTTCGAAATGACATTTTCCAGAAATAACGTTTGCTCGAACTTTCATAACCTCGAAAGTAATTTTGAGAGGAAAATGTTTTTTCTTTTAAGAGGGAGCAGAGGAAAAAATCCTAATCTTCGATTTGATTTTAGAGGGGTAAATCCACTTTAAAGTTAAAAATAAAATATTAGTAACTACACGAAATATTCAAGCACAGACGTTAATCAGAAACATAAAAGAATAAAGTTTCCTCGATAGATTAAAATCACGAAAACACGTCTAATTTTCACATTTTTCGATTTATTCTCGAAAAGTTATTAGGACAAAAATTAGATAATTAATTATATTTATGCATGATCGACTACTGTCATTAGGGATTTTTTTTTAATCCCTTTAATTTTAGACTTATTCCGCTAAAACGAATTTGGCACTTACGACATTTTTAATGCGCAAAAAGACTTCAAGCATATATTTGTTCACAAATTAGTCACTTTCACTCCGTTGAGGCGAAAGGACGTTGACAAAATTTGGGGCTGAGCTGTTTAATCGTCATCGTAAATTATCAATATTGATCGCTAATGGTCGAAGGTAAGTTTGTGAATTACCTACCTATGTTGAACGGTAAAATAAAAAATATTATTTTCGTGTGCATAAGCGCACTTAGAACTTACGAATTTTGATTTCATCAGTAATAGGATTGGAAATTCACCGGTATAAAAGTGAAGGTCGTGCAGACGATTTTAGTTGTTATTATGTGCTTAATAACATTTAAATTGGTTTATTCCCGCTTTCGCGGGCTACTCGAATGATATGACGATACCATTTACATGTTTTACATTACATATTATAAATATATAATATTTGTAAAAGTGACGTATGATTTATGCTTTTTTTCCGATATATTCTGGAAACTGAATTTCTCGAATCTTTCCACAAAATTTATGAAAATTTAAGATATAAAACTTTGAGACGTCATAACTTATTACTAGATCCTAAAATCAAATCGAAGATTATTTTTCCTCTGCTCCCTCTTAAACCTTTTTTTTTTGTTAATCCGGGGGAATCTGCTTATAGATACCCCGGCCCCGCGGGCGCAGAGCCGGTAACTTAACCTAACCGAACCTAATCGTGCCTTTGCGATAAACATCCAAAATATCCTGAAAGAACAACGGTTTCGTTATAATTCGTTTTTCGATGTAATGAAAATTCGAACAAACGTTATTTCGGCAAAAATAAATTCGAGTTTGTGATAGGTTACCACTGCTATTACAATAGTGTTATAACTCAATCAATCAATATGTGAAATTCAATATTATACTATTGACTATCTACAAGACAATAAAACTTTGTTAGAATATTGTAAAAAACAACGTAACTCAAAACGAGACAATTTTTTTAATTGTTTAGTTGTTTGTAATAAACTTTAACCTATACATATATTTTAATAATCTTTCACTGGAATAGAGTAATTCTGTTTCATTGATTCTGAAAAAATACACTTTTTGAGTTAATACACTATGGTATTAACAGTGCGACACGTGCAATAAGTCCAAAATGAACTATTTTGATTTGGGCCACTCTCCTTGAAAGCTGCGATACATACATACACCTACATACCATCACGTCTCACAATAAGTTAGGTAGAGTCAATGGACATATACTCGCTACGCTCCTTCGATACTTCTTTCGCTTTCTCTACCTGCATCACTGTTTTCATACGCGCCTGCTTATTAGTACTTTTGGACTGGCCTTTTCTTAAAACCTACGCCGAGGTGGAAATGTGAGGAAAGGCGATCCTTCCTTGTGATTCTCTCCACGATCGCTCTACAAATTCGCTTAATTATTCTAACGTCGTTTTCATATGACCCAACTATCGAAGTATTCTCTTTTCTATTCGAGTCACTACATCATCTTTTACACCACAACCCTCTCTTATTACGCAGCTATCTATTATCTATATACTACTCGTACTATCTATTATCCTCATTATGTCCATAACAAACTTGCAAAAAGAGTTATTCACTGTACACAAGTACCAATGTTCAAAGAGCTCAGGTTCAAACTACACTTTTTTGGTTGAATTTGCTGGTCGTCTGGTTATTTTATATTTTTGTGGTTCTCTTTATTGCTTTTTTATTATTTTTAGACTTTTTGCTTCACCTTAACGTCAAAGTAATATATAATAATTGAAAAGTGATACATCGCAAAAATAAAACTCTTTTTTGCTCAATTCGCACGATGAAATCGACACAATCACACAACAAAAAAGTATTTTTTTGTGAAGTGGCCATTAAAGTTTCTAAAACTAAGTTTCAATTTGAAAACGCAAGAATAGTTTTATTTTGATTTCATATAAATATTAAGGTTTGTTATGTGTCTTCTTAAATTCTAAAAATTGTAATACTGGCTGTTTAATTGTTACAATACACGTACATAGGGATCGGTATCATAATTGTATCTTCAAAAAGGTACCATTGACATCTTTAAGATGTATCACCTAACCTCTTGCACTTATCGTCGCTGCTGGCTAAAGCTCAAAGAACTCTATTTTGTTTTTTTATAATACCAAGTGACGGGACGAATAAGTCGTGCGCCTGGTGGTAAGCGACACGCCTGTCCATAACAGTTGCAGTGCCACTCAGAGCTCTTAATCACAAATCTGAGGGGCATTTCCACTGCACCTGTCGTCCTGTGACACAAGTTGATAAATTCCTTACCCTTTGTAACTCTTTCACAAGGAGCTCTATCTGCTAGCTGGAATACAAGAAGAATTCAAATAACATCCCGTGTATTTAGCTGCCTCTACTAGCAATCGTCTTTATTTCTATCTTCTGAATACATGTAAGATTGCTAGTAAAGTAAAATAGGCCTGTTCAGTGTACTTTAATGACCCGTTCGACCTCTATAGAGCCTTGCCTTGCTAATGACTGCGTTAAGTTTGCGCTATTGTACCTTCGCTTATTAAAGTATAGTCATGGGACAACTATAGTATTTTCATACTCGACATATACTTAAATTGGATTACTAACTGGGTTTTTGTCAGTTAGTTTTCTCTACCTAATTTTGGAGGTAATTTTCATTATTTAAATATTCCAATATTAAATAGTGCTTCATGATAATATTGCACAATATTTGAATAATAGAAATTGCCACCATAATTAGGTATATATAAGTGACGTGAAAATTACCCAGCTACTAGTGGCGAGGGGTCCATGTAACACGATGCTTATAATGTATATTATCAGCAAAATTGAGCCTTCACATGCCGAAGACCTTTTGTTGAACTTTTGTTGTGAAAAGTTTTTGTTTTATTCATTGTTTTATTTATATATTCATTGCCACTGGTGATCATATGGGGATTATATGGACCCCGTCAAGCCACTTCACTTAACAATTTCAGATAGATACTTATGATTACTTACAGAACAAAAATAAGGTACATCCAACTATAATTTATTAATTATATATATTATTTTTTTTGTAAAAAATAATTTCTTTTTTAATTCGTTATCAGAGTATTTCTCGAGTTTAATCAGTTCCATCTGGCAAGATCTTTCAATGGAAACAAACAACTTTCATATCACTTTTAGGTTGAATTTTAGTTGTAACTATCAAATATCTATTATCAAATTATGTTACCAAATATTGTTTTCATATATTTATTTACTCTTACATATTTTTAATGATTTGACAAATATAATGTTCCAATCTCTTTACAACATTCATATAATAAATGTTTAATATTGTCATTACCCAGTATTGTAATATACTCAAACCCCACGTGGCTAAGTAACAACTTACAAAGGAAACAAAACAACTTTAGACGCTATACTATACACTATGTATGTACTTAAGTGACACAAATATCACTTAACCTATACTAGGTACACGACCCCATCACTAGCAACGACTCTAAGCGCAATAATCGGCAGTGAACGTTTAACGCGCTCGCGTGGCGCACGCGCAGCCTTCACAATATATTTAAAATAAAACATCGTACTTTCGTACTGTTAACTGTAACTATAATTATTTTTATATTTATCACTTGTTGTTAAATGTTTAATTGTGTTTTGTTATGACTAATGAATTTTCCGTACTTATGGGCCGTAAGTGATGTTCAATAATTATCTTAGTTGAAAAGGATGATCTCACTTGTTTAAAATGAATAGATATTATGAACTTTGTGCAATTGCACGTTTCGTCATTGTCATTGTTGCATTGTCACGCGCTTTGTGTGCGGTACCCAGCCGTTTTTGTTGTGCAGGACAACATCATACGTTTATTTTCTACTGTACAAAGCAGAAACAGTACCTATTGTAAATGACAATAATATTTATATAAATAACAATTATACCAAAGTACCTATTGCTCACAATAGTTTCCGGTTCATAAAGATTATTGTAAACTTCATCATTAACATTACAAATGTAACCAGGGAAATATCTTAAGATCAACTTATAAATTTACTTTGCTCTTTATAGCATCATTTTCCTTGAGCAAAGCAATTTGCAGGGTATTCAATGTAAGAACTACATACAATGTCGTGATTAAAACAACCATAAATTATACAATTCATAATGTGTTTCATATAGACATGTGTGCACTTGAAGCTCAAGAACGCAGGTTTAGCTTTTGGCGTTTAATCACCTGGTTTTTGCATTAACATTCTCATTCTTAATACAAATGCCTTCTTATTTCAATTACACCAGTATCTTCACACTATTTTCTTTATGTACGTTCTCTATAATGACTTACATTTATAAAACTAATAGCCTATTTAATTTGTATTAATAGACTTAACTTACAACACTTATAATTATTAAATAAATATCGAGCACTTTAGAAAAAAACCACTTCTATCTGGTTGGAATCGAACCAACGTTTCCCAGCAAACCATGCCAGACGCTATGCCAACTAAGCCACGGAACGAACTGTAGCTATAACCCAATCTAATACGGTCATTTTGCAAGGGTTGATACATTTTATTGCCGTATTTTTCAATAATGCAATGTGCAAGTTTCGATATTTTGCGTAAAACACAAATCGAGTCGGACACTGGCACTTATAAAAGCGGTACGTCGCTCCGGGAATCGGGAAGTCGACTGACTTCTATAATCGATATCTGATCGATAACTGTGTTATAACTGTTATAACGGTGTTATCGATCTATGTGTAATTTTTATCAATAAATCGGGTGTTAGGAAAATTAGTTTTTTTTTTAAAAGACAAATTCTAACGGCCGCCTTACAGAACGAACGGATGTTACGAAACTTTCCATGTGTTTGTTGCAGATCTTCATATTGTTTTTTAACGACTTTTTTGCCGTAGAAGAATTAGAAAAATTCCTGAGGTCCGTTGGTTCGTTCTGTGACTTAATTGGCATAGCGCCTAGCACTATTTGCTGGGAAACGTTGGTTCGAATCCAACCGGATCGAAGTTAATAATTTCTGAAGTGTTAGTTTTGTTTAATAATTATAACAAACTAGTGGAGTAATTTCAATAAAACTTAATTAGAAAACTTATATATTTCAATATCAGTAATGGTGTCGGCATAAAGCAGAAGCAGAAATAAACTTAAAGAGCAATGTTAAGTAGTTCAACATAATTTAATAACAAAATCAATAAAAAGTGTAACTCCCATAAATTGACAGAATTCTCTCTTCGATCTTTGTGTTAATATTGTTCAAGAAAAGCCAGAACCTAAAAAAATACTTTTATTTAACAAAGAACTGTTGATTACACAGAATTGAAGCGATTGCTGCCAACATTGCCACTCACGCGCAAGGAGAAGTCGCGCTCACGCACCTCGTGGTACGCTGACTGCAACTCCGACACCGCCTCCACGCACACCTCCACAGCCTCCTGGTAAGTTTGCCTCCGGCACGAGCCTCTTTACACCATTCCGCGCGGTAAAACCGACCTTCATAATAGATAGATAGATAACTCATTTATTTGCTGAATCTCGGACTCACGGTACCTATATTAAAAGCTTAAGACATAGGTACAATACAAAAACTCAAACCGAGAAAATTAATATTTAAAGAAACAAAATGATAAATATGTTTTACATTTGAATATAAATTTAAATATACTTTTCTCTTGCGGTAACTTCATACCTTATCCACTCAGGGAAAAATTGGCAGTAGTAACAGATTAGCCTTTTTTAACCGACTTCAAAAAAAGAAGGAGGTTCTGCAATTCGACTGTTTTTATGTCTGTTACGCGATAACTTTAGCATTTGTGAACCGATTTTGACAATTCTTTTCTTGTTACAAAGAGGGGTACCTCAGCATTGGTCCTATTTAAATTTATTTGAAGAAAATATTCCACCTTTAAGGGTGGACCTGAATAAAACGCGAACTTTTGAGGTCGGTTTTTTATTACTGATCACGACCAGTCGAATTACGCCTACCAATACGTAAATTTTTTTTAAGTGTCACATTGTACTTTCAATGAACAGCGGCAGAATGGTAGAGATAAAAAATGTTTAGGTTTTCGGGTAAAGCCTGAAGTGTTGCCTACATTGTGTCGAGGTATAGAGTTGAGTGTACTGTGTTAAAAAAAAGAACCTAACTCAGCATTATGCCGCAGATTAAATGGGTCTTTTACAAACAGTCGAATAATAACATATTTCTCTACGCAATGAGGCGAGTACACTCCCAATTTTCGTTACATTGCTCTATGACGTCGCACATTAATCGGCGAACCGCGCGCGCGCCGGCGCAAAAATGACTCACGCGCAGCCTGTTCCGCGAGCCACCGTTACCTTTGGTGCAATGTATAAGCGAAAGCGATTGAATCACAAAGCTCGCTAAAACCGAATCGGAATCTAGGAAATTCCCTGTGCTATGATTACTAGACAGTGAAATTGTTTGTGAGACACTATCTGGAACATCCAGACCAGAAATAATCTAGAAAAGTTTTCAAGTTGATCCTACCGGGAAACAACCCTTCATCTAGCACATACAGTGCAAACTCTTGGGCCACCGCGCGCGAAAAAAATAACTTCATTCAGTGTAACAAATGACAATCATTCCTAAATCGAAAAACGATGTATGTAGTGCAGTAGAGCTTCTTACGAAAGAGTTCATCCGGGGAAGTACTGCCACCTTACCTATTTCTGCCGCTGAGCAGTAACGTGAGCATCATTACGTTCCGGTTTTGAAGGTTAAGTTAAGAAGCAGTTATTTTCACAAGCCTCCGTACATTTAATGTTGGGTGGTTTCAATTTGTTTTGTCGGAGCCAACATGTAGTACCACGAACATTTTGTATACGTGTTTGGTTAGGTAGTATTTTGATTTATCTTTCTAGGCTTTGTTTATTGTTATTAAGTGTTTTCTTGTGGTATTGTTTTTCTAATGGGGCTGACATGTTCAATAACGATAAAAAATAAAGAGGAAAAGAAACCTTAATTAAGATAAAAAAGTTAATGTTAAATCACCAATATCGAGAAGTAAGAAGTCTAGTTAAGTTTATAACCTGGCTCGATCATCGTAGTGTAACATTGTAGCTTACGCTTTGTTTACATAGTCATCATGTGTCAGGTCTCATCGGCATAATTCACAAATCACAATGTAGTGTCACACTGTCGATCAACCGAAGAGGTGTGTTGAAGTGTTAAATAGGCTCGTTAAAAGAATAACAATAAATAAATAAATAAACCACACTGCACACCAAAAATTATCATTATCGGTTAAAAATTAAGTATTCATATACTGTGGTTTGTGGTTTGGTTATACGTTAAATATTGTTCTGCCGGCAATCTGACCGAAAATTTTTGGCGTAAATAAATTTACTTTATAATAACTTTTGCGTCAAAGTAGATATGCTTTGAGGTGTAGAAAATCTTATAATTTTGGTTGATTGAACTTAAAAGGTATTTGATTCATTTGGTGTCAGGCTGGAAGATTTGTAGTGGTTCTGTTGAGCTTAAAGATATTTTTTTTATGATAACCAACTAACGGGACGAACGAGGTGTGAGCCTGATGGTAAGCAACACGTCGATATATAATAATACGCCGCACTAGGGAAACCCTGTATCGCGGATGCCATGGACACACAAAGACAACCACAAATTACTCCTAAACTCACGAGGAAAATAAATGTAGGCCATAGGAAATTCTCAGGTTTGATGTTTTATTTCTATATGTATTAGCTATTAAAGTTTCACAATGGCAATTGATATGGAATACTTGATTAGTGCCCTGTTTTTGATTTGTCTTGTTATACTAGGAGACTTTTGTCTCCAATATTTTGTCAACACGTACTCTGTGTAGAAATTTTATGATATTTTGTATTTCGAGTTGAATTTGTATTCTTTTGAGAAATAAACAAATATTTCTCCCAGCCCGGGAATCGAACGCAGGACCTCTGCCAGACCAGCATGTTAACCGTTCGATACCGAAGGTAGTTAAAAATATCCATAACAGGCAATGCCAACTTTAAATCGCAAAGATTTGAGGGTCACTGCCACTGCGCCCTTCACCCTGAAACAATAGAATAGAATAGAATAGAATAGAATAGAATAGAATCGTTTATTTCATGTTATCAATGTCACAATATTACAATTGGAAATACAATGTCAAGGGATAACTATGATCGTCAGTAATAAAATTATAATAATAATAATTAATATAAAATAAAGTAGTATAACTACTGCTTGTCGAATAAAATAAAATTAAAATTGTTTCAAAAGAAACTCATCGACACTGTACAATTCAATATCCAATAAAAGGTTTTTTAGTCGGGTACAAAACGTTTCATCGTTTCTAACACTTTTCAGGTCTGTGGGTAGATGTTCGTAGAATCGGGGACCTATTACCCGCGGATTTCTAGTTGCAAGTTCGGTACGGTGGGCAACGGATTTTAGTGTTCCCGCGTTTCGTAATGCTCGGCCTCCGTCCGTGCGTCGCTCATAAGTAGCCAAGTTTTGACGCGCATAAACTATTATATCATAAATATATTGTGAGTACATGGTCATTATATTGTATTTCTTAAAAAGGTTTCTGCAGGTCTGACCATTTTTTATGCCTACTATTGTTCTTAGTACACGTTTTTGAAGAATAAATACCCTAATCGACTCAGTTGAATTACCCCACAGTGTGATGCCATAAGACATCAACGAATGAAAATATGCATAATACGTCTGCCTCAATACCACATTGGAGACAAGAGGACGCAGTTTCCTCAGTGCGTATGCAGTTTAAAATACAACATAATAGCTATTTAAATTACAGGCACATGTCAACATAAGTTGACATGTGCCTGTAATTTAAATAGCACCTCTACCCTTCAAAACCGAAACGCAGTAATGCGCACATTACTGATTGGCGGCAGAAAAAGTAAGGTGGCAATAGTTGCCTGGACGAACTCTTTCACAAAGAGCTTTACAAAACATGTACTCAAATATTTTATATGCCCGTAAAAATATACATAATTTCAATAAGAAAGAAGATATCCACAATATTAACCTTAGAGCTAAGTCCAAGGTCATGGTACCACGATTTCGTTTAACAAAGGTAAACGACTCTTTTATGGGGAACTGTATACGTTTTTACAATAAGATTCCGGAGCATATATTAAAATTATCATTTCCTAAGTTTAAAAACTGCATCAAAAATATTTTGATTGAAAAGTCATATTACAAAATTGAAGACTACGTGTTAGATAAAGATATATGGAAATACGGCACCAGAATCTACACAAAGTTGATTCAAAGTGAATTCCATAGCGCTTAAGTTTATTTGAAAAGAGCAATCCCTAGAGTTTCTTGCTCATTCTTCTCAGGGAAATCAGCGTAGTGAATGAGCTGTAGTTTAATGTAAATGTGACGTTTCCAAGCATTGACTTACAAATAAATGGACGACGGGTCTAATACAAAAACCACGAAAAAAATGTCCCAAGTCAACCTATTTAAACGTAGTGACATGTAAAGGAATATGAAAAAGCTAAAACGTTGAATTTAAATTGTAATGTCATCGCAGTACTGTCTAATTTTGCTTGCTTCGCTGTCAGTCGAACAAACGAAGACTAAAGCGTGAATGACGCTCTGTAAACGATTTTAACGCCCTATAAGTTCGGACACTTTTTAGCGCGGACCCGACGTCCATATAATTGTAAGTCAATGTTTCCAAGTGTAAATTTATTTTGCCTATGGAATAAATGATCTTTGACTTTGACTGCTACTAAAGTGACTTAGAAGCATTAATGAAGTATAAACGAAGTTAAAGAGATTGGTTTCATTATGCATATATTAAATTTTGAGATCATAAGTGGTAAAAGAAATCGCTAAAGTCGCTAAACTCGTAACACTCACCAAAAACGTGTTTTGGGTGCCACTACGGATATTAAGAAATGTTATAATAAAACCGTTGAAAAGTCTGTTGTGATGAAGTGGGAAACCAAACTGAGAATGTCCTTAAAATATAGGCCGGTCGAAAGTTTTTTTTTTATAATATCAAGTGACGGGACGAACAAGTCGTGCGCCTGATGGTAAGCTACACGTCTCTCCATAACAGTTGCAGTGCCACTCAGAACTTTAAATCGCAAAGATGTGAGGGGCACTATCACTGCACCCGTCACCCTGAGACGTAAGTTGACAAGTCCCATGTGCCTGTAATTTACCAGCACCATTCAAAACCGGAACCCAATAATGCTGACATTACTGCTTGGCGGTAGAAATGGGTAATGTGGCAGTACTTCCCTGAACGAACTCTTTCACAAGGAACCTCTACTGTCCCTTGAAAGTAACCAAGCCCCAGTGTCACCACGATCGTACAGCCCGCAACACGTGTGTGTTAATGTAAAACATTTTGTGAAAGTTCCAAGGCGATAGTGAATTAATTATGGATTTTCCAATGCCATTCGATACAAATATAGTATCAAATTAATCGATACAATCAGCAGGTATACAGTGACCTAGTTTTTCGTCTAAAGTACAGTCACATGCATTAATATCGGCCCTTTCGTTACTAATTGCCGTTACGGTTATACTCAAGTTTGAAAAGCGAAGAATCTGCATTAATTATGAAGTATTTGAATATATTTTAAATAATTAATAAATAAATATACATTAGACAACATCATATACGTAGCTCCGATCCCAAAGTAAGTAAATAAACTTGTATTATGGGAATCGGAAACAACGACGGTACCACAAACACCCAGACCCGAGACGCTATAGAAAAGTTAATTTTTTCTACATTGACCCAGCCGGGGATCGAACCCGGGGCCTCAGAAATGGCGACACCATCAGAACCGGTGTGCAAAGCATCCGACGTCGTGTTATGGAAATGGAAAACAACGACGGTAATTTATTGATGAAAATGTGCCGAACGGAAACGACATCGCCTTGAAGAATTTTCCTTATGCTAATTATGACTACTATTCAAGCGTAAAACGATAAGTACCTACCTATTATATAGCAAAATTTATATGCGATTTTCATTGGCAATGCCTTCATATCAGCCAGAAGTAATAAACTTAATTAAAATTCACTTTCGTACTCAATAACAAAAGAAGATCTAATTTTAGTTTCGAACTGTAATATTTTTACAACTTCCAAATTTGTTCTTGAAATAATCTCATTACAGAGTACTAAAAAAACCGACATCAAAAGTCATTCATCCCCTGGTTTGCCACCTTTAGGGGTGGAATATTTTCTTCAAATGGGACCACTATTGAGGTACCCTCTTTCCAATAAAAAAAAAGAATAACCAATATCGGTTCACAAATAGCGGAGTTATCGCGTAACATATATACAAAAAAAAAGAAAAAACATACATTTTCTTTTGTTTTTGGCTGTCTTTTGCTGTTTTTTTATCTAAGGCTGTGGTTTGTAAAACAAACTAACTTCGACTAAACAAAAATTAGAGCTAAGCAAGTTTTTCGTATTTACAAAACAATCTAAGCCTTAGACTTACAAAGTAAATTCAAAGACTAACTTAATTTCTTGCTTAAACAGCAAAGTTTCTTTTTGTAAATCCGAATAACTTGTTTAGCTCGCCATCCTTGTTTAATCTAAGTCAGCGTAGGGTTTATAAGATTTGTACAGGCTCGGATTCGTGTCAATAAGGCCAGGCTGTCTATCTATCTATAAAGCCTGGGGGTCTACTCACGATCTCCGTTCGACATCCGTCCGAAACAATTATTATCAAATAAGTAATATTCTACAAAATTAAAAGTATCAAGAATGAAGCTTCATTCTCATCACGCGTCTTTTCATTTGGTCAAGATTGCTTATTTGGCAGTAATTGTTTCGGACGGCGATCCAGAGTAGACCCCCAGTTCCTTCCGCGCACTGTTGTTGTTCCAACAATATTGTTATATTATTATGTTCTGTTCGTACTACAGTGTGTGGTAAATAAATGGTTTTAAATGGTAAATAGAACGAAGACGAGTGGGATTCAGTGCGTAAACGGCTTGGAGGAAATCAAATGTCAATGCTTATAATCGTGTGCTAACTTTGTCTAGAGTTGTGCCGGATACCAAATTTCTTTTTTATTAAATAGATGGAATAATTACAACTAACAACAACATGTATACATACATACACACTTTTTTGTCCTTGTTACTATTTCATTATGGATCAATATCTGAAATAAATTCGACTTCATTGTTCACCGAGTAAACGTGTGTTATCAAATCACCAACAAGAAACTTCAATAACTCTGCACTTGAAGAATTTCTAAATAAATATAAAACATAAATTAACCTGAGTTTTACGTCGTATATTAAATTTTGTGTGTGAAAAACTGTTGAATCAATCAACAAGGAAAAAATTTATAGTAAAATTAAAGATGTACACTGATTACTATAAGGTGTGAGAACAAGATTCCTAAAATATTTCACGATAGAAAAAACCACAAACCTACCTTGAAATTTTACAAGAAAACCGCTGCATTCAATAGGTCCTTTACATATACCAATTATTTGTTTTATAGCAACTGAAGTAAACAGAACACGCATCGCATACGATATACATTTATCAAATGGCTTTAAAATTTTGTTTGTAATTAAAATAAATTCAGAAATAAAACCAGTGTCCCTGTCGCTCGACCCAAACCAAAATGAAACTTGTATTTGAGCTAAGGTAGTAATTTCCTTTTAAAATAGATTATTTACCCCTCTTTTTGCGTGAAAGAATTGGTTTATTACTACCTGATAAAAACTTTTATACGTTTATTCAGGGGAGACGTCGAATTATTGTTATATTTAACGCCAATCATGTTTTTTACCGTATAGGTACGCGGAAGTCGGCCTCTACCAAGCAGGCAATATATCGTCATCATCAGGCGCATCCTCAGGGTCCCATCCTGCTTCGCCTCTGCCGCACTCGCTATTCCCGCACGAGCCGCTCTACCAGTTCTACAACGCTGCTAAAGTTGAGGTATGTCTCAAGTGTTGACAAGTTGAAAACCTACTAAATTTTCACAACGAGATTTATTCGTTATTTTGAACGACTTTTGCCGAGTCTAGCGTAATTATTCTATAAGAAATTTTAACTCTCCAATATACCTTTCGGGACCTGTAAAGGACCCGAAAGGTTGGTTTGTTTGAAAAAACAAATATACGCGATTTAAATCCGGAAAATAGTTTCATTTCCTATCTTCAATATTTTATATTCAGGGTTAACGTTAAGTATTGAATATTGGGGCAGTATACAGGGTTATTTTTAAAATACTAACAACCTCCCAGGACTATATTACTAACATCATAAACAACAACGTCTGTTTTCGGATTGCCAGAGGTCTGGTTCGAATCCATACGCATCGAATGAATTTTTTCTTAATGTTTCGATCTTTGTAATAGTTATAACAAACTAGTGGAGTAATTTCACAAAAACCAATTGAATATCATGATCGTAATACATCGTGACATTCAATAAAAACTTTAAAAAAACACTAGAGTTACAATAAGGTCTAAATTTGTTTTAACCTCTCCTACACCAGAGCTAATAACGATGTTTGCCCGCAAACTATAGCTCAAATGTTCCACAATCATACTGGAGATTTTAAATATTAAGCTACTGTTATCGAAATAGACGCTGACGCTTTTCATCGAAACAAAAAAATTTCGAATGGCAAATGAAGGACAGAATCTTTATGATATATTGAAGGTATATATTATGCATAAATTTGTCTCCAAATTAGTGAATTTCAGTGAGTTGTATGTTGTTACTCAATTCAAGTCTTTATTTCGGACAAAATACTTAAAGTACTTAAAAACTATGTTAATATAAATCCTCTAAACATTGACGTGTACCCGTACCCATTGAAATAATATGGGCCCATCGTTCCTATCGGCCACTGTACGAAGGCCATTTACGCTGCCCCGCACTCCGCGCGTAAGGGATACTACCCGCTTCCGCAAAATGGCGCTAAAGCCGCTCGGTAAACATCCCCGAAGCACTAGAATTGTAAAGCGGCAACCCCAACAGGGCGCGATACGCTGTAAAAAGATTGGCAAAATGCTTTAAAAACGCGTAAGCTTTACGTTTAATGTCTATATCGTCAGACAGACTCTCCGGCACCCAGTGCCCTAGGTACTTATAATGCGAGACCCTATTTTTTTTAATATAATATCGAATGACGGAACAAACAAGTCGTAGGCCTGATGGTAAGCTACACGCACGTGTTGACTGGCGGCACTTCTCTGGTGCATTTACCACCGGCCTTAAAATTAAAAACTTGCTTTTATTTATGATTCACCTCTGTTTCTCTCTAATCCCACTGCCCTATTCCACATTCGAATCACGTCACGTTATAAAGACGTGTCATTGGTCAATACGATGACTAATAAGTTCTTACAACTCACTTCTTATGGTTTTCTTTTTCTGGGTTAAATAATTAACACTAATTTATTGATTCATTTAATGTAAGTTTTTTGTCAAGTAATATCGTTTTTATTTATACTTATAATACTACAGTTCTATAATAATATCATTAAATATAATTCAATAAATATAATGACATTGAAATAACATCATTATAATTTATTTTAATATTATATATAATAATTATAAAAACAATGATTATAATACATATATAAACTAATTACATAGAAGCTTAAAATATATTTTCATAGTAAGAAATGTATCACAGGGTATCACATGTATGTAATGTACCCTATACTTAGAATAATAACGCATAGAAACCTAGTCCGCACACGCTAAGTGAGGCAAATTGAAGCGCGCCAAAAGGGCCTACACGAGCGGGCGGGCCTTCAGTGCTCAAGGTCAACTTGCACCGCGAACAGATCAAAAATTTTAGCTAAAAATGACGAATTGTGCGGTAAATGAGTGTAAAAATACGTCAGACAAACATAAAATAGATACTAACATCACATTCCACAACGAAGTAGCGCGTTTCAACTTGTATTTTTATATAAATATTCACTAAAACCGAAAATTAACCTACTACTAAAACTAGCCTACATGAATTTGATTTTTGCCTCAATTGTGACAGTTCGTTTGATATGAAACTATCATTCTATGCGTTATTATTCTAAGACCCTATACTACAGTCAACTCAAAACTTTGTTACATCTATTTGCCAAAGTTTTATTGAAATGGGTTACCGAATTTATCATATAGTTTGCCAGTTAGAGGAGGATTACCCAATAAAGGATAATCAGTCGTATTTAAAACATCCTAATTTTTTGAAGTCGGTTAATTAAATAAAGCAACATTACTGTCAAATTGGAACAACCAACAACTAAATCAACGTTTCGGGACTTTTTATAACGTTCCATGACCGCGGAATAGTCAGTTTTTGTTTGAAAAAATAAAAACAAATACGCGATCCGAAAAAATACAGTTTTATTTCCATTGTGTAACAATCGCGAAAACATTGGATTTTGAAAATCGTAGCTTATAACTACTACATTTTTTTTTCTGTTGCGCACACTACGTACAGGTAATTGTAAAACTATTAAGTAAGATTTTTCAGTGTATAAAATATTGTATATAATTATACCAATATTTATAAAACGAAAGCTTGGTACTTATTTGGTGTAACGGGCGGGTGTCCGCAATTCAACATCAAGGCGCCTATTTTGCGTGTGGTAAAGAAAGCTTAGTCCTGTCTTCATTTCCCAAAGAAATATAAATTCCTATATGTTACCAGGCACCTTCACTTTTACAAATTCTCCACAGACCCATTGTTTTTCACACAAAATGGCAGAAACCGTTTCTTTAAAATGTATTGTCATTTTGTACCTGTCGTGTTAATTTTCTGCGCTGCTTGCGTAAGAGAGCATAGCATCTGAATTGCAGGTCTGTTGCGTCTCTTGCCCTCGTTGGTAATGAGGCATTTAGGAGGTGCATAGTGGTTACTATTGTTTGCGTTGAACTATTAGAGGTAATACACGTGTGGAAGGTTGTCACGATATGATTCAAAGACGCAAACTTGAGTGCGATAGGCCTTCTGGGGTATGTTGATAACTTACTTACAATAAAAATGCTGTTAAGTTTGTATTTTTTTCATTATTATAATAATAAAAAAGATCTTTATTATCCAACATTAAAATAAAAACAATTTAGCCTTAAATAATAACATCTGAAATTACGCATGTAGATAAAAAGGTAAGTCTCAGCTTGTACTGTTTTTCAGACTTTGCCTTTTTGGTGAACTCGGTACATTTTATGATTGTAGTTGTATGCGTCTGGACTAGACTGACAATGCTTTTGAAAACGAAATAACTTGAGCACTTGAGCGCAGTGAGGCGTCAGACGCCGACCACGATGTGATCCGGGCGCACTAATGCGAGCGTCGTCGCGCGACGACGAAACCAACGTCTTCCAGTAAACCGTGCCAGACGCTATGCCAACTAAGCCACGGAACGAACTAACCGACCTTACGAATTTTTCTGTGCACAAGCACAAATAAATTTTTTAGTTTAAGTATATTACGTTTTGAGTTTCTTAATTATTTGTTACCTGTTTAAGCTGATGGCTCTGTAGCCAATGTCGGCAAATAATTAAAGCGTTTTTGTTTTCAGTCTGCCTGCCGTGAAACTGGTGACTCCGATTCAGACGCATATGAAGTAACAAGTGGTACCACTGAAGTGCAACCGACCTCGCCACCGTCGCTATCATCGCCCCCGGTCAGCAACGTGCGCCCCTCCGCCATGGCGCTAGTAGCGCCCCGTGGCCCTGCTAGGACGCTGTGGTGTGAAGTGCCTGAAGTTCTCAATTCTACAGTACTTAGTAAGTTAAATTTGCTGTTGAAATTAAAACCAGTTAAGAAATAACTCCAAGCGATTTTTATTAAAGCTTCCGTGCGTTCATCAGCTAACTTGTTAATAATTGTATTTTTTTTAAGTTTAGGTTTGTATCGATCCCCTAGGCCAACATTTTTCATTGGAGGTTTATTCAGGAATTTAAAAAAATACATGTTTTTAATATTTATAGTTTATTATTGTGTAATGTTATGTAATTTTGTGTGTATGTTAACATATGTGTACTATTTTATGTGTCGTTGTGGAGAGGCTATCAAATCCTCCTTTGGAAGGGACCGTACTTTACCCAATTCTGGTATAAATAATACATGCGATTAAAACATGTTAATGTAGTAGATGTTCTTGTACCGACAACTATTCACTTACATATTTCCAATTGAAACACAGGTTCCCTTGCGCCCGCGCAAAAACGCCTTCAGGAAGCCAAGTTCGAACTATTAACATCCGAAGCATCATACCTCAATTCCTTAAACGTACTGGAGATGCACTTCATCGCGCACCCAGCGTTCAGGGAGACTCACATCCTGCCCAGAGCCGACCGTGAAACGCTGTTTTCCACAATTTTACCAGGTAATAGAATTTAACAAGAATATTTGCTATTATTTATTATACAAAAACGACAAAGAACAACACAAAGAAAAATTCCATCAATCTTACTGAAATAGGTACCATTTATTGCAACGCCACATTATAATAAAAAAAAACACAAACGAAGAAAACTAAATAAAAACTACATAAAAAATAACAAAAAACAGCATAGCTAGTCGAAGCTCCAAAATCTCGATCATCGCAGAAAAGTAGCCTGCTTGTCGGTTTTCTATCGGATACATTTCGGGGAGTGTGCGCAGGAACTTTTCAATTTGGTTCCGCCCTCACCGTTCCTCCTTCGGTCGACTAGAAGGTCCGGAGCACTCCATTCTTATGTCGTTGATATTCCACCTATTCGCACTAAGCGCTTTACCTCCTCCTTTCTGATGCGTACGGCAAAGGAATGGAATGCTCTACCGGCATCTGTATTTCCCGAAAAGTACAATTTGGGGCTATTCAAGGCTAGAGTGAATAGGCATTTTTTAGGCAAACGCATCCCATCGTCGGTCACATCGTCGCTTAACATCAGGTGAGATTGTGGCCAAGCGTGTGTCTATTATATATTAAAAAAAAAAAGAAAAAAAGCTAACATTTCAATTAAACAACATATTTTACTATATAACTTAATACTAGACTGACATGTGCGGAGCTGTGGCGTAAGCAATAGGATCTCATTCTTCTAAATCCACTGCCGAGAATGGACTGCGACGCTGGTTTTCAATGGATCCTCTTTTTTTTTCAAATAAATAACGCGCACACTCAACATAGCCCCGCACTAGGGAAACCCTGTGTCGCGGGTGCTATGGACACACACATAAACAACCACAAATTACACCCAAACTCACGAGAGAAATAATTGTAGGCCATACAACTATTTCTCCCGGCCCGAGAATCGATCCTGGGACCACTGCGTGGCAGTCCGGCATGGTAACCGTTCGGCCACGAAGGCAGTTAATCCTGGACCGGACTCGAACCAGCGTCTGTTGCCACTTTGTGCACCGATTTTGACGATCCTTTTTTTTTTTGTTGGAATGAGGGTACCTCAGTAGCGGTCCCATTTAAATAAGAAAATATGCCACCTCCAAGAGTGGCAAACTAGGGGATGAATGCGATTTTTTTTAGTACTAGAAAACAATGTAACATACAACCCGACACTGACAAAGTGTAGTCCGATTATCGTACCCATCCTCATCCACTACATCATAATAAATATTACTATTTATTTTACAGTGCGAAAATGCTCCCAACTGCTTATGAACGAGCTGGAAAAGTGCTGGCAGGAGAACATCCTGCTGTCAGGCATCTGCGAGATCGTGCGAAGACACGCGGAGCAGCACTTCCATGTTTACGTCAAGTACTGCGAGAACCAGGCGCTAATGGTCAAAGCGCTACAGCGGTTAAGGGAGCGGCCCACTTTCGCCACCGCACTTCGAAGGTATGCTATTATTTAACTATGAGATCAAAATAAACTAATGTAAAATAATGGTTCTACCACTAGACTAACCAAAGGTTAATCTGTAAATGAAGTTGTTATTTTGATGTTTATATGTTCATATGTTATGATTGATGGGTTATTCGCAAAAAACCGCGACAGACCGACAGACAAAGATACATCATTATATGTCAGCTTTAATTGATGTCTTTATGACAGCTGTTTCTGTTTTTTTATTATGGTTTTTGGCTTGGATAGCTATATATATAGTAGCCCTTTGAGCCAGGTCTTCATTTAGTTTTCGGGATCCTCATTAAATATTTCCTATTGTTTTTAATGCACCTACTTGTAGAATGATAACAAGAAATTAGATTTTTTTTAATAGTTTTTTAAGCAGTGGGAGCCACTTAAATCACATGCTAATAAAAGACGTTAAATTTGGAACATGGCTCGGTGGGTACTTCTTCTTGTATGCTTCCGTACCATTTGCCTTTTATATTTTGATCCTTTTTCCAGAAACTTTTCCATAATGTTGTCTTATAAAATATAATCATAATTGAAAATATGAAATCTTTTAGAGTCCTTCATTTAAAATTTCCGCCATTTTTTTCTCAGCTATATTTGACAGATAGAGTTTCGTTTATTAATAGAATAAGAGTAAGAATGTAACACTGATTGCAGGCTGGAAAGCCACCCCGCGTGCCAGAGCCTGTCGCTGCACTCGTTCCTGATGCTGCCGATGCAGCGCGTGACGCGGCTGCCGCTGCTCATGGACGCCGTGCTCAAGAACCTCAGCGCCGACGACCAGGAGTACGCCAGCTGCATGCGGGCGCTGGCCATACTCAGCAATGTGAGACTTTACGTGCTACTTCTTTATTGAATAGGATAGAAACCATTTATTGTTATGCCACAACACAAGAATACATAGGAAAAAGAATAAAAAAAAACAAAGCAAACATATTATTTTAAATATTCAACACAATTTGAATAACTGTCTTGTATGCGGCTGTGTATACAAAAGGATTCACTCAGCCGAGATTAAACTGTGACGCTGGTTCTCACTATTGATAGCGTTTTGTTTGGAACATATAGTTTCTGTGAATGTTCTCTGGTCTATAGATTGAAGTCGTTGTTATTACTACAATTTCATTAAATAAAAAATCATAATAATTCATTAAAACATAAAAAAATGCTATTTAAAAATAGAATAGAATAGAATACGTTTATTTGCCAGAATACAGTAATTACAAAGGTCTTAAGTAAAATTAGGTACATTGTATTCAACCTGCAAGCAGATGTGCAAATATTAATGGGATTCAATGTTTCTTTAGTCTCTATAGTTTCTAATTAATGTAATGAATTTGTAAATTCTAAGTATTCTTTATTACTATAGAAGCAATGTGTCAAAAGCCATTTTGTCAATTTTAATTTAAAAGTATGTCCTTGTAACAATTTAATTTCGTTTGGTAATTTATTGTAAATAATTATACACATGTTGAAGCAGTTATTCTTATAAATTACTTTATGGCAACGAGGTTGGTAAAAGAGATTCATAATTTTTGCTCTAGTTTGCCTTTGAATGACTTCACCGCGTGTTTTAAAATATTGAGGATGAGAGTTGACAAATACGCAGATATCCCTAATGTACATGCATGGCAAAGGTACACTGCAATAATATAAAAACAAAATGCATCATCATCACAACAATATAATAAAATTCAATATATTGTTAATAGTAGTTTATGTGACTGTTACATAATGAAAGGCATTAAGATACGAGTGCGAGTTTATGAAACTAGCCGACAGGTGAGTTTCATAAAAACATCACACGAGTGTGGGTTAATGCCTAATTATGTACAGTTACATACACTGCTTTATCTATACACGTTTAATAAGCTCTATAAGATGTGTACAGGAATCGCATGTTACGACTGGCGAAATGGCGGCAAATAAAAACTTTTCTTCGCGCATGTCACGCAACCGTAGTTTTTATTTTTAATTCATAGACAAACCAGAATCGGCCCCAACTATCATATCGTTCGATATCCTTAGAGGATGGAAAAAAATAAATCGATATCAAGTAACGTGTGAAATTGTCATAATTGTTTGCTATTGACATTTCATTTCACGGATAAGAAATTTGTTCTAACAAAACAGTTTATCTTTATGCTGGTCGTAATTTGCAGTTTTTGAACACATCATAGAGGGTTTATGATATATGTGTAGATAAATTTATTTATTTATTTATTTATTTATTTTAGGGAGATTAACAGGTAAATTAATACAAATAAGTGATAATATTACAAGTTACAATGCTAATTATAAATCTCCACAAATAGCTTAAAAAATAATGTAAGTAAGTTTTGGTAAACAGCAAAATAAAATAAAATAAATTAAGAAAAACCAAGATTACAACTTCAATAAACGAATACACTACCAAATGCTAAGCAAAATTAATTTTTAAAGTAACATTAAGTCACACAAAGGAAAGAGAAAACATTAATTAACTATAGGAAGACAAGCAGATGCAGGAAAGAGAAAAATGTAAATAATAACAATAGTGAGAACAATAATAATAATAACATAATATTAACACAAAACACACAGTTTAGCCAACCGCACAAAATAGAGCTAGTAAACTTAATTTTTAAAATATTGTTTAGTAAGTAGACGCCGAATCGAGTCGACGCTGGTACTAAATATATCAATATCAGTATCCAAGGACGATTGGTTGAACTCATTTACTGCTCTGACAAGAAATGAATTTTGTCGGTAATTAGTCCTCGCATTGGGTACACTAAATACCGAGTGATGCCTTAAACTCAACAGGTTAGTTCTAAATGATACCTTTGACAATAAATTTGATGAGTCAACTTTACTGTTCACTATTTTAGAAAGAAAACAAATGTCATTCACTCTTCGCCTAAAATCGAGAGGAACAAAATGATAACGCTTACAACGCACTACATAGCCTGAAGTTTGCTGCTTCGTTTTGAAATCCAAATACCTTAAGAATTTTTTCTGAATAGCTTCAATACGTGATTTATAAACTTCGTATCTGGGATTCCACACTTGAGAAGCATATTCAAGGTGACTACGTACAAGAGAACAATAGAGTACCTTTATAGGCTTAATGTCAGAAAAATCACTACAAGTCCGCATCAAAAATCCCATGGCTGTATATGCTTTAGTAACAATACTATCGATATGTTTGTCAAAGATCAATTGGGAATCAAAGTACACGCCAAGATCCTTAACATTGTTCACCCTATTAATGAAACTCCCCTGAACACTATAACCTTCGCTGATAATATCTCGTTTACGAGAGTAAGATACAACAAAACACTTAGACACATTTAGATCTAATTTATTGCTATGACAACAAGCTACAAACCGATCTAGATCACTTTGTAGCTCCTGTGCATCTTCAATTGATTGTACTCTCTTAAATATTTTCATATCATCTGCATAGAGTAATATTTCAGAGTTACGGAAGCATAATTGAATGTCATTAACAAATATGGTGAACAATAACGAGCCCAGCAAAGACCCCTGGGGCACGCCCGAGGGAACAAAATTCCAGTTAGACTTGTAACCCGACAGTACCACCGCCTGACTGCGTCTGTCGATGTACGAAGAGAACCATCTGAACAGGTCACCATGCACACCGGCAATCGACAGCTTAGCAAGTAAAACTGAATGGTCAATACGGTCAAAACATTTACTAAAGTCAGTATACAGAACGTCTACCTGAGCCCCAGTCTCCATACCTGCAGATATAAGGTCAGCGGCCTCAACTAAATTTGTCGTTGTGGAACGGTTACTAAGAAAACCATGCTGACATTCACTGAAGGAAGTCTTTAGAGCAGCATACAACTGTCTATAAACTAGTTTTTCAAAAATTTTAGCAATGAGACAAAGCTTAGAAATTGGTCTATAATTCTCAATATTGTGCTTGTCTCCTTTTTTGTGTACAGGAGTAATGAACGCTGACTTCCAAATTGTAGGCACGACTCCTTCACCAATTCATCGTTTAAATATTATTGAGATTGGTACTACCAGTGAATCAGCACAGTTTACAAGAATGCTGGAATAGAATCTGGTCCCTCACCTTTGGATAAGTCGAGAGATTTCAATAGTCGCAAGATTTCAGACGAGCATACCTCAACAGAGGATATACTGCAACCAGAACTTCCATACACACTTGATACGTTGCTTGAGTACTGAGTATTGATATTATTAGAAGAAAAGTTTGTTTGAAAATACGTGGCAAATAGGTTACTAATAGCCTCACCTGTTGAGGCAGTTGTGTCATTATATTTTACATTATTAGGAACAGATGATGATTTGTATTTACTCTTGACATAAGTCCAGAAAAACTTTGGATTTTGAACAATAGAAGATTGAACAAAAGAGATATAGGAAGAATAGCAATTCCGTTCCATAACTTTTGCACGTTCTCTTAATAGGGAAAATGAATGATAATCGGCCAAATTATTATAAGTTGTATATTTTTTATGATATTTGTATTTCTCCTTGAGAAGCTTAATCAAAGATGAATTATACCACGGAGGATATTTACTAGGTGTACACATTTTTTTAACTATATATTTATCTCTTAACTCATATAACTTATTGTAAAAAACATCAACAGCTTGATCCAAAGGGATGGCAACAGAACCACATAGCAATGACCAATCAATGTTACAAATTTCAGAATTAATTTTCGCATAATCAGCATTAGAATAAAGGTACTTTATTGATGATTATTCGGTAAGTCCGCCAACTTGTATAAATTCAGCTCTCAAACAGAGAGATTTATGGTGTACATCCTCAGGGACAAGTGGAGAGGCACATGAAGACACGTGAATGATGTCATTAGATAAAGCAAGATCCAATACACGCCCCAAATGATTTAATTCACCATTATATTGACTTAAACTACACGAATGCATTGTATCAATGAAATCAATGATAGTCTTATTATATTGATTTAACGCGGGCGATTAATGTAAATCATCAGTAAGACGAGTCCAAGACACGTAATCTTTAAAATTAAAATCACCTAAAATTATAAATTTATCAAGAGGATGCGAGATAATTAGTTCATTTAGCTTATTTGTAAAATTATACAATTGTGTGTTATGCGATAGACCCATTCCATCATCACAAAGATAAAGAGTGCAAATATGAAGAGTACCAGAGCCCACAGAGCGCTTACTACTAATACTAACCGCAAGCCAAATATCCTCAGCCGAACTACGCCACTCAGGCCTCTCAGTAACCGTTAGATCACGCCGCACTGCTAAAAGTACCCCTCCACCTTTTGATTGACAAGTACGAACATAATCACGATCACGCCTCCACACAACATATCTTGAATCAAATAGTTCAGAGTCATTGATGCCATCGATCAACCAAGTCTCGGTTAACGATATAATATCATACGAATTTAAATAAACATTTCTTAAAAACGTACTGGTCTTAGTACGCAAGCCTCTAGTATTCTGATAATATAAATTAAGTCCAAACATTTTTGGCGGTACATAAAAAAAAAAAATAAAAAAAAAAAAATAAAATTATCATTATCACAGCAACAATCAAATATACAAAACAAAAAACATCTAATACTGTTACAAACTGTATGTGCTGTTTGCATACTATATACTTATTGATGACTGGTAGAAACTACAGAAACATTCTGTGGATACGAGACGAAACAATAAAAAACGCAAGTAGGTAGTGCCGTACGATAATGAATAAAACTATAAGCGATAATGGCGAAAAGTGAATACAAAAGCATACGATCAATATAGAAAATAACTTAGTTACAATATAGTACCATTGCAAATAATAAAAATTATGTAATGTGTGTGTATAAGTTGGCATAAAGCTGTATGTAATTAATAAGTATTTCTTACCTGCATTTGCTCGGACATTCAAATTCATTTCTGCGGTTCTCAAACTCTTTGACGTGTAACTTAAAAATTGAAATTTATAGAATACTTTATACATTACTTTTGATAAAGTGACAGAGGAAACAAAAATAGATAAATTGTTCATAAACAATAAAACAATTACTGCGACGAAATTTTTGAAAGGTCTTTGGGTGTTCTTATAGTTATGATAGGAGAAGAATCGTTTTTTCGAAGGAAAATTCTTGCATTCTTCACCCAAGTGTACTGAAACCCCTGTTCTTTGCCCAGCTTCTTGGCGTTTGTTAAAAGTGTTTTATTTTGAATAGTAAGATGATCATTCACATATATGTTAGAACGACCTTGTAGGCCCAGCTGAGATGGCACAATTGGAGATGTTTTAATTGCTGCTCTGGCCGCTGCTATAAAATCTTCTTTTACATATCTATTGTTAAAGCAGACAATAACAGGTTTAATGTGGTCCGGGTCACGTGTCTGGACACGCGTTGCAAAGTTGAGCTGCGTCTTAGACAATGGGTATTGGATCTTGTTACCCAGTGAGCACACTAAGTCCAGTAGGTTTTCATTCTTGTTTTGGGGAATGCCCTTCAACTCGATGTTGTTCATGCGATCCCATTGTTCCTTTTCATTGAGATCATTTACAATTTTTTCCACTTGGGATTTCATAGCGGCCTGTTCAGTCTTTGCATTCTCGAGAAGTTTTAAACGGCTTTCAACCTTTGTGAACCTCGTTGAAAATTCCTTAATGGTGTTTTCAGTAGCCTCTGCTGTAGTCTTCAGTTCAGAAAGATCCGCTCGAAGCTTCTGCACTTCCAGGACCAAAGAATCAAGCGGCATCAACCTTACGCGCGCCGATAGCTTTTATTTCCTTCAGAAGCGTCTCATAGCTACTATCTGATGTTACAGGAGGTTGCTTACATTTGTAGCATCGCCATACATTTTTCCTGCTGCCTAATTGACGGTATCCTTTTTCGGTGATCCCAGCGCAATGAAAGTGTTGGTATTTGTTGCACGCACTGCAATGCACTCCATCAGTAAAATTATAGTCACACTTCGAGCACTTCAAGAAAGTATCTTCAGATTCCGATGCAGACATTGTAAAGTTTGAGAACCACTAGTAAAGTTATCACCGACGAACGAGAGACAATGACGAGACACAATGACCAATCGTGCGAGACACCGATCACACGGGTTAACGTACATTCACTATAGGTGTTATTAGTTGGTCAGTCGAAACTTAACTTAACCAGCGACGACGACACGATATTTGTACAGAAACGTCGTAAGGCGGAGGTCTCAATATACCGGTCAAACTTATAATCTAAGCGTAGATACGTGTATTCGCAGGTGAATCTGTCACCGAACTGATAAAGATAATAATTTTATTATAAAAATTTTCCTTTGTGTTGTTCGGTCTTTATATCAATAATGATTTAATTCTAATTTATCTTTCAGTTTGTGCAGCAATGTAACGAAGGTGCGCGCAACACTGAACGAATAGAAGAAATGTTCCGGCTATCACAGAGCATAGAGTTCCCGCCTTCCGTGCGAGATCCACCGTCACTCGGCCCGGCTTGCGGAAGACGGGACAGAAGGTGAACTTTATTAGTACATTGTGTACTAAGGACGGCAAATAAAGAATTACGAACGAGACCCTATTGGAAGCCCGAAGTCGAAGACTGAGGGCTTTTGGAGTCGAGGTCCGAAATTCCCGTACCGCCCGTGAAACATACAACGTTTTTCATCACATTTGCGAGTAAATAGTATAATTGCATGCAGGCTAACTGGACTATAATGGCCTAAATAAAACCCGCGGGCCTTTTTTCTTCACATTACAGCCATGGTCGTGTAACGGACCGAACAATTAGTTCGCAAAGTAGAATGAACTTAGGTACATTTTCCAAAACCGACATACATTTCTCGAGATTCAAAATCTATTTGACTATTTCAAGTGTAATTATAGTTTACCTGGGAAAAAAGTAATTTTAAATTTTAATTTGAACTTCTCTACAAGTGACAGGACGAACAAGTCGTGAACCTGATGGTAAGCTACACGCCTGTCCATAACAGTTGCAGTGCCACTCAGAGCTTTAAATCGCAAAGATCTTAGGGGCACTGCCACTGCACCCGTCACCCTGAGACATAAGTTGACAAGTCCCATGTGCCTGTAATTTCACCAGCACCCTTACCCTTCCAAACCGGAACGCAGTAATGCTAACATTACTGCTTGGCGGTAGAAATAGGTAAAGTGGAATTACTTCCCTGGACGAACTCTTTACCATTTAAACCATTTAAACCATTTATTTCCACACACATAAGATACATGAAATAAGAAGATCAGATTATTTGTATATAAAATATTTGAAAGAAGAAAAAAAAAAAAAAAAATTTAATAAGTAAGTGATTTGTGTGTGGGGGACAGTCTCAGCATTCACTGAGCGACAACAGTCACTCAGCACTGGTTTTCAGCCTGCCCCCGACCTCAGTAAATACATGTGCATTACGGGCCTGTTCCGCAAACTTAATTTAAATTAATGTAAGTTAACACTTATAATTGTAATCCATTGTATACAACTAAAAAAAAAAAAATGGTAATAATAAATAAACATTTAAAAGAAAACAATAATTATCTAATAATAAAATCTGAAATGTTAATAAAATTAAATTAAATTCATGAATAATAATTTTACAAAGAAATTTAAAAATTACTAATATTTTGCTTACACTAAACCAAACCAATCATTTTCCGTATATTGAAACAATAACTTCAATAACAGCTGCAACACAATGAATATAAAAGCATTTGAAATTGACGAGTAATGTTTATTGCCACAAAAAAACAAAACTAGTACAGGGGTGTCTCTTTCTGTTTGGCCAGCTCTACTTGTTTCAGTTGATATTTAACTGTGTATAGGGATCTTTATAATATAGGCTTTCATCAGTTAGCAAAATACGAACCTTTATCAATTATTTAAACGTATTTTTTATGATCCAGACCAGTAAGATGGCTGGTCCGGTCCGGCGAGATGACGCAGCTGGTGTGGAAGACAGACGAGCTGAAGCTCACTTTTGGCAAGAAATTCCACAAGATACCGTTGTACTTCTTCCTCTTCAACGACCTGCTTGTCATTACTAAGAAAAAGAGGTTAGTGCCACGTTCATTTCTTTTGAATTATTATAAATAAAATAATTTAAAAAATAAAAATTATTTTCAGACAAATTTAATCCATAGCTGGTTATTTTCACAACTTAATACCTATGTTAGTAAGAAGGTAACCTGTCACAAAGTCGAATTTATTATTAATAAACAAGTATTGATGATAATAAATAATAATAACGCACACACTCGACATAGCCCCGCACTAGGGAAACCCTGTGTCGCGGGTGCCATGGACACACACATAGACCACCACAAATTACACCCAAACTCACGAGAGAAATACGTGTAGGCCATACAAATATTTCTCCCGGCCCGGGAATCGAACCTGGGATCTCTGCGTGGCAGTCTGGCATGGTAACCGTTCGGCCACGGAGGCAGTTCAAAATAAATTCCAATAAAAATAAGTAAATTCTCGAATATACATTGGGACTAAGAACAGACCCGTATCCGACAGGTGGACGTTGACCATTGTCCCGGTTAGTTTTAATTGGCTATAAGTTTTTTTAGCGAGGACCTGTACGTGGCGGTGGACCACTGTCCGCGGTCGCTGCTGGAGGTGTGCAGCAGCGATGGCGGGGTCGGTGGAGGCGCCGCGCCGGCAGCTAAGCACGCGTTGTTGCTGACGCTACTTGAGAACCACGAAGGACGCACTGTCGAGATGGTGAGAAGCAATAGAGAACACTACATCAGCGTACCGATTTCATCAGTACATTGTTTATTAAGGGCGGTGAATAAGGAAGTACGAACGAGACTCTAGTAGAAGCCTTAAGTCGAAGAGTGACGGCTTTAGGAGTTTGAGGTTCGTAATTCCCGTACCAATACCAATACAATGTTTTTCATCTCACTTGCACGTAAATAGTATCATTGCATGTAAATAAAACCCTCGGGCTTTTTTCTTCTCATTACACAACCGTAATGAGAAGAAAAAGACGCGGGTTTTTTTCTTTCTTTCGGGTCTTCTCATAGAGTCTCGTTCGTAATTCCTTATTTACCGCCCTTAATACATAATGTACTATGAATTTGATTGTCCCTCTGTTCGTAATTGTCACTTACCGCCTTACGGACACATGCGTCTTGACAAGTGTACATAGTGACCGTTCCCTCATCACGCATAAGGGCGCGTTCCCGTTACGTCGTAACTATTTATCATTGGACGACTGTCGCGTCTAGCTTGTTCTCATATCACGGCTATATGTCGTGACTGTGTCGTGGACGTTTTTTATCGTTGAACGACTGTCGTGTCTAGCTGTTCCCACTAGGTCGTGAGAACAATTTATCGGTTCACGGCAGCCGCCTTGTTTGAAGTCACATTTTTATCGTGACGTTTCATTTACCGTCAGACGACTGTCGTGCTAGCTCTTCCCCTTGTCACGACAGTCTGTCGTCGTCACGACATAACGGGAACGCGCCCTTACCAATAGCGTCGCGACTGTTGTGAACCGTGCCGTGTCCGCCAGCTGCTGTCGAGCCCCAGCGAGACCGACGCGTCGCGCTGGACGGAGGCGCTGTGTCCGCCGGCGGAGGGCGGCGAGGGCGAGGCGGTGTACGCGGGCTGGGACTGCCCGCAGGTGGCGGCCCTCTACGCCTACGCGCCCGCGCAGCCCGACGAGCTGCCGCTGGCCGAGGGCGACGTCGTCAACGTCACCAGGAAGACCAGCGAGGGTGAGTGGACACGTGGTTTAACGGAAGACAATAATAATAGTTTAGGCCATGGGAAAGGCGAGAGTCTACAATAGATTTCCAAAATATTTATAGCACATTTTAGAATAAAAAAAAAGACCTCAAAAGTTTGTGGAATCTTCTATCTATTCGCCAAGTTTTCAACCGATTTCAAAAAAGGAGGAGGTTCTCAATTCGACTGTACTTTCTTTTTTGAGTGTTACGCTATTACTCTATTTGTGAACCGATTTTGATGATTCTTTTTTGTTGGGAAGAGGATATCTCACTATTGGTCCCATTTAAATTTGAAGAAAATATTCAATACTCAATACTCAATATATTTATTGCATTCATACGGTAAACATGTCTAAATTTAAAATAATGCTACACATATGAGCCCTTTATTAGGGATAACAATAACAGCAGAGGTAGGTAGCAAGATTCCTCCTCTAAGGGTGGCAAACTAGGCGATGAATCCGGTTTCGCACACTTTGCGGTAACGGATTTCAATAAAATTTGGCAAGTGATGATAATTCCACGAGATGGTAATTCCGTCAACCTTTGAGGTCGGTTTTTTTTAATAAAAAAGTTATAATATTGAATTCGTTAACGGAAAGCGAGTGCAATCCGATAAATCGGATTCATAATTGTAATAAATAATTTGTCACCCTTAAAGGTGGAATGTTTTCTTCAAATTTGAATAAGACCTCTACTACATCCTACAAACAAACAAAAAATTCACAAATGTAATCGGAGTACTGGCATAACGTACACAAAACATGCAGTAATATTGAAAAATCCTCTTTTTTTTAACTAGGTTATTAATGATAATGTCTTTATTTTACCAATCACAACTCACAACGCTCACAACTAAAGATTTTATTACAATATTTTTATAAGTTGTTGTAGTTATACAATAAGTAAATTATCCTGCCTTCTAAACGAGGGGACCTGTATAGAGGCCATTGACTTACAAATAAATGGACGACGATGGAAAAAAATGTCCCAAGTCAACCTATTTAAACGTAGTGACATGTAAAGGAATATGAAAAAGCTAAAACGTTGAATTTAAATTGTAATGTCATCGCAGTACTGTCTAATTTTGCTTGCTTCGCTGTCAGAAGAAACAAACGGAGACTAAAGCGTGAATGAGGCTCTGTATACGATTTTAACGCCCTATAAGTTCGGACACTTTTTAGCGCGGACCCGACGTCCATATAATTGTAAGTCAATGATAGAGGCAGAAAGAATAGTAGGCAAAAAGATGTAAAACGATTGTAACCTAAAATTATTGAGCATTGCAATATACGAGGTAATATTATTAAACGAAGGAACATCGTGCATTTGAATTGAGAGGCGGTTGACTGGTGCCTAACGGTTGCACGCTCCATAGTCACGGGTTGACTGGACGGTGGCAGATGACAGCTTTAAGAGCCGACATATCTGTCTACCCTCTTGCGGATATGTCTGCTCTTGTAATCTGCCGCCGTCCATTCACTGCCTCCGTGGCCGAACGGTTACCATGCCGGACTGCCACGCAGAGGTCCCAGGTTCGATTCCCGGGTCAGGAGAAATATTTGTATGGCCTACATTTATTTCTCTCGTGAGTTTGGGTGTAATTTGTGGTTGTCTACGTGTGTCCATGGCACCCGCGACACAGGGTATCCCTAGTGCGGGGCTATGTTGAGTGTGTACGTTATTATTCAACCCGTGACCATGGAGAAGTGGTAAGAAGCCTGAAAATAGTGATTTATTTATTTATTTATTGAGTAAGGCTTACCAACTAAATACATATACGTTTATACAAGATACGTTAAATATTTATAAAAACGAAACATTTAAAACTAGTATTATATGCAAAAGCATTTAAATTAAAGGTATGCACCGCATTACATAAAGGTAAATATTATTTTGGAAGCACGAGGTTATGATTAGTCTGTCTATACATATATGACTACATCAAATCAAGTTTAAATTCAACAATTTATGTTGTAAGTACATATTAAACACTGTTAACTTCACAAGCAAACTATTTCCTGATAATCATTTAGTGAATAACCACGAAAGCCTTAAAATCTATAAAGTAAATTAATCATGTTATTTCAGGGTGGTATTACGGCGAAAGAACACGCGACGGTGAATCCGGTTGGTTCCCGGGCAGCTACACAGTGGAAATAGCATCAGCGCACGTTCGGGCACGGAACCTTCGACAACGGTACCGCTTGCTCGCGCTATCTGGCACTTATCTCGGACAGAAAAAACGACCAGCTTGAAGTTTATACTTGCAGTCGTTAGTTGGAGAACTTCCAACGCAAAAAACAAGTTTGTAAAGTCTTTTCGGTGAAAAGGGTTATTTGCTCTTTGCGCTTTGTTGTGAAACTGAATTTGGTATAGTCCGCGACCAAATGATTGGCTGTAACTATTGAAAATCTACTATTTGCGGTCACTTAATTGCGGGCGAACCATAATTAGTGTCTATTATATGTGGTGCTTAAATTTTTGCATCTCAAGTGTTCGAGTGCTAGTTTTTCGGTGCACTAAGTTTTTAAGACTATAGCGCGTATTTGGTCCGTCCAGACACTGCCTTATTTAGCGGTTAATTAGGCTTTAGTATTTTCGGAGCATTTTATTGTTAGACTGTTCAAATATTACGGTTCTTTACGTGTCTTAGTTTGCGAGAAGTTATGTAATATCTTGACCATAGAAATGTTGTAGGAGGCAATTGCGAAATTACGTCTTTATAATTATTAAGAGTCTGTACTACCTGAAGTGGCTTCGGTTGATTCGGCATAACAGTGAAGGTGTTGAATCAATCACTGTGGAAAATATATGTAGTAAAATTGCGGATATTTGCTGATTAGTATACCGTGTGAAAACACGATTCCTAACACTTTTTACGATAGAAAAAAAACACAAACTTACCTCGAAATTTTACGAATCTGCTGCATTAAATAGGTACTTTACATTTAACAAATGGATTTAATTTCGTTTGTTAAAAAATTAATTCTGAAATAAAGCCAGTGTCGCTGCCGATTCAGTACGGGAAAAAATTTTAGACTCTTAGTACAAAAATCGAACACAAAGAATTCCTTCGATACGACAGGACTTGAACCTAAAACCACGCTGTACCGTAGCGTCGCTCTGCTCACTGAGCTACAGGTCGAGTCAGCAAGTCGACGAAAGTCTTCTATGTGTCTGTTATACTGCCCTCAAAACAAAAAAAGCACAACTGCTTTGTAAAGTACGCATAGTTGTACCTTTATCCATTACGAGGGCAGTATAGATTGCATTGAGTTTTTTTCGGTTTTCAACACCGTAAGCGACATCTGGTGAGAGATTCTTGAACATTTATGAATATTTACGCCTTTACGTCCAAATATATCTTATTTGTTAGGTAAGTAAATTGAATTTGAAACGGTCACATTGATTAAATTCTACTACTCATTCGTAAGGCAGTAGCCTAAGGTGTAGCCTACACTACAACGAAGCCGTGTGTTGTACAAAAGGCGGTTATCACATTCGTATCATTCATAACGTAACATAAGATGCATTGATACAACACGAAATATTTCGAGTTCTTAGGGTTTCGTGGTTGCTATTAATTGGAAATGGAACTATTTTTTCGGATCTAAAGTCACTTATAGAGTTATTAATACAAAGATTTAACACAAACGAAGATTCTTTGGAAAAAAGTTCTTTGTATTAATACTTATAATAAACTAGTAAAAAAAAAGAGTAATTTACAGTATTCAATTAAACCAATATTAAAATTACTTATGTATATTTTTCAAACTGGCTGTATAAGATCCGAAACGTTGGTTTGGTTAAAAAAAATGTAGGCGAATCTAAATTCGAAAAAATAGTTTCATTAGCAAGTGAAAATCTCGTATACAGATATGCTGCAATGAAAATGTTTTATATTTTTATTTTCTTAAAATGGTCAAGATTATATAGCGTTCCTTACACCATTTAGGCCCATATTAATAAACAGTCCCTAAATCCGGTATTAAGGGTGTATAGGTTGAAACATCGCCACAAAAACCAAGGCTCAATTTACAATGTCGCGGAAGGAAGAGAAAGTCTTTTTTTGTAACGAAATTGTATATAGCATAATGAACGTACGTCAAATTGTCTAACGTACAGATTGAATACGATACTATAGCAACGGGATAACGTGAAACTTGTTTTTTTTATTTTGTATCTAGTTTGTACGTTATCCAACTGACATAAAGCTCATCATCCTATGGTTACAAAAATTCGCTTCCATTCTGTTCCGGAGCAATGTAAATTGAGCCCAAGGCCAGGTGCTTAATCGGTTAGCACTTAAACGATTTTGAACCGTAGCTCAAGTGCCGAATGACGTTTATTAATAAACGGTATTTTTGACAACTCCCAAGTGATGCATTATCTATGAGAAGTGTTCATCAGAAATAGGAATAAACATTTACCTAAACTTCATGGAAGTAATACACATAGAGTAGATAATCCCTCTGCAATTCCGGAATTATTGTACTGTATTTTATTTTAAATTTCTGATATTTAAGTTGCTGTACGCGAAGAATGTGTGATTTTTTGCTTTTTATCTTTAGCCATTCCAGAATTTCAGAGGGAGTATTATACACTTGATTATTTATTTATTTGAGCAACGACTATAGATCCATCAGCTTAAAAAGGTAACAAACAATGAAGAAACTCAAAATGTAATATGCTTTAAACGAAAAATTCATTTGTGTAAAAACTGTAACTACAAAAAACCGGCATTTTTCTTTTACTTGGTAGTTTAGATAAATTGATGTGTACTCAATTGATATTTGTTCAAAAATTCAGCACTTGAGATGGATTTATTAATACGGGCCTTAAGACACTCTCAAAGAGTATAATTTTGTATGTATGTATGTTAATGATAAATGGATTAAAGCAATGTACAGTTACGTATGAGATTTCGAGTTTTCGTTGTACAGTGTAATTCGTTTTACTATAGTATTAAACTTCTACATCACGTTATATATTTTAAGTTTGTAGGCGTAGGTTATTAATAAAGCCTTTGTTATAAAACTTTCCCGCTTTTTTTTCGAATATTACCTAGTCATTAATCGCGGATGAGAAACATCACTGAAAAAAAAAATATAAACATGTAGGTATCGTTTTTAACATTCCGAGTTTCTATTCTGTACTTTTTTTAAATTTAAATTTAGAAAACCTTGTCAATACAAATTGTAACAAATCAATTTTAAGTACTTAAGTAAATTATTGTTTTTTTTTTGTACATAAATAAGTAAAATACATTCGTGGAACAATGTGGGTTATTTATAGTTGTAATAAATATCAAAATATAATTATATATTGAAATATACCTTTGTTTTCATTATAACCTTTTTACTTAATGTTTGCCTTAATACCGGGACTACTAAAGTTTCGCAAAAAAGGCGTAAGTAAGCGACATTTCGAAAAAGTTTTCAGGGAAGCAAGTCGTGACGACAGATAGTCATGCAGTTTAAAGTGTCGTAGCTTGTATATTTAAATGAAGTTGTTCACATATAGTCTTAAAGGATGGAAAAAAAAATAAAAGAAAGGAGCTGCCCTAACCACAGAATCAACGTGCATTTAACCAAAATTTGAAAGTTAAAAATGGCGGATTTCTTTAGTGTTGTACCATAATCTATCGATAAGTCGTTATCGACATGCAAATGTATGGCTTGAATGTTGAAACTGTTTTTTTTTTGGTTCTTTAGTTTACTGTAACCAAAGTATGCCTAAACAAACACAATTCTAATAATTTACTCTCGAGTTAAAATTTATTTTCAAGATTATACAACTGGTAACTTATTTGGTAAAAGTCACCAAACTGCTGTGCAGTTTGTTGGCGACATGCGCATTCTTACTTAATTATACCTACTTTACTGGCATATAACATTACATAGTATTAGTAAGCATTTCATATGCGCACGGACAAACGTGTGAACACTATTGGCCGAGCGCCTCTGATTTCTGATAAGCTAAATGAACTCTATACTCGTTGGCGCTCGCCTTCACTCGGTCAGCTAGGCGAGTGACACCGAACGATGGCAAGGCTAGGCAAATAGGCTGTCTATACGTTGGTATTGGCCTTTACCAGGCAACGTTGGACTAACATGTCATTGTATTGCAGGCTTTAAAAAATAGTCATTTTTAATAGTTAGAGTTGTCATTGGGAAAAATCAGAAGCGAGTGGATAATTTTGTTTTCAGGAACTGAGAATAACTAGTAAATGAGTCTTGTTTAATCTAAATTGAACTTAAAATTATTTACCAATAAACCTAATGATGGAACAACATTGTCATGTAATCTAGTTACTTTCAAAGTTCTGTTAAAATTAACTATTCAAAATGAAGCGAACAAATGAAGATGGTCTTTGATCCAACGTTTATATTCGGCAGTCCTATGATTTCCAACCATTCTTTCTTCCTTTTTTCATTTGTAGGAAAATTGAAATAATAAAAATAATAAAACAATAAAAACCTCGTAGTGAATTGTTTTAATAACAGAATATCGATAATATGTATGCTTACAGGATCAACACTATCTCAAAATAATCGTTAACAATAATCATCAAAATACACAAACAGGCAATCTAAAGTAACAAAAGCAAAATTTGGCAAGATTTATAAATAAACTACTTAAATAAGTCTAATTACATATATATGGGCTATCGTGTGATTTATAGACAAAAAAATAACACATGCCTGTGCAATATAACATTCGATTGATTTGCACTTTTTCTAAAGCCACATCCCTTAATGCTGCAGCGTCGCATTTTTATTAATACCTAATTATTCTCACTGTCAATATTTTTGTCCAATTTAATTATAATACATGCGAATAATTCAATAGTAAATTTGGAAAAACATTTGTTTTGACATTTGATGTACTTCCCTTTGACAACGGTATCATGTACTTCATGTACTGCGAAATGGACACGGTTTGACGTTATGTATTTTCGATTCCCGTGTTTGACACAGACCAATGTAATGCTATCACTTTTGGCTTAAGACGGCACGTAATAGTTAAACAAAGACAAGGTCGAAATGCATCATATACATATAACGTCTGATTTATATATGTCAACGTAACATGTCCTTTAGTTTCCATAGTCTAGGCATATAGTACAACACGATTAACTGTCGTTGACGAATTTACGACCGTCAGACTGTCGTGACAATGGGAAGAGCTAGAACGACAGTCGTCTGGCGATAAATAAAATGTCACGATAAAAATGTGACGACAGATAGTCGTGATATGGGAACAGATTAGACGCGACTGTCGTCCATATAAATACAACAAAAAGATAAATACAACGTTACGACATAACGACAACGCGCCCTTAGTTTAGTTTTCGCGACTGTTATTAAATATTTACGTCCTGTTGTAAATTCGATTTTAAAACAAACTAAAAACTTAATTAAAACCAAAATTGAATTCTAAAACAGGACGTAAATAATCTAAAACAGAGGTGATAGCATTAAAAAAAATTTCAAAGCACCCCTGAAAATTTATTCGAAACGTCGCTTATGACCTTTCTACAGAACACCGACGAATATGCTCCCAAAGGTGAGGCTTAATTTACGCTGAATTCGGTTTGATTTAAAAGTTTGTTTTGGATACAAAACAATGATGATAACACTACCACGCAAAATTACGACCGAACGCCGGTCAAACTGTGTGGCATGCTTGTGCGAGTGGAGGCGACTAAGAGAAACAATTTTTGGCATGGGTACAAATTGATCATGATTTTCAAAT